ATTCGTCCAGTCCGTGTTGGACAAGGCGCTGTTCATGTACTACCAAGCCGGCCGTTTGGTCCTGGTGTTGGGAGCTCACGTGGACGACTTGCTTGGAACAGGCGAGCCGGGCACCGCAGACCCGATCCTTGAACGGGTCAAGCAAGCCTTCGATTTCGGTTCCTGGGCTGACTCGCGGAGTGACAGTGTGCTTGAGTACGGCGGGAAGCAAGTGACCAAGCAGGCCGATGGAGTTGTGACCCTGTCGCAGGAGAAGTTCATCCAGGCCATTTCCGTCTACACAGTTCCCCGCTGGCGTTCAATCACGCCGCTGGAGCCGTTGACTCCGGCCGAGGTCACAGAGCTCAAGTCAGGGGGCGGCTGCTTGCACTGGTTGATTGGCCAGACCCGGCCAGATCTGGCGGCAGCAACTTCGTTGAATATGTCCGGGCAGCCGACCGTGACCAACCTCGTGGAGATCAACAAGCTCCTCCGCGAAGCGCAGAGGACACAGGACTGGAAGCTCCGTTTTGTGCCAGTGCCACTCGAGACGGCCAAGATCATCGCCTTTAGCGACGCCTCTTGGGCCAACGCGGAAGGTTTGAAGTCACAGGCCGGCTTCCTGACCTTCGTGGCCGGGCAAGACGTGATGACGGTGCAGGGCGACCAGGCTTCCTTGATGGATTGGCGCAGTCACAGAATCCAGCGACAGTGTAGGAGCACGCTGGCGGCTGAGACGATGGCTATGGATACGGCCTTCGACAGCGGCATCTTCCTCCGCGAGCTCCTTGCCGAAGTCTTGGTGCAGAGTTACATGCCCGTGCAGTCCGGTTCTCTACCTCCGGATTTTCTGAAGGTGCACCCCGTGACGGATTGTCGTTCGCTCTACGACCTTCTTACGAAGGATGGGCCGGTAAGCAGCACACAAGAAAAGCGGCTTACCATCGATGTCGGCGCGATCAAGCAGAGTGCCGAAGAGTTCGATCCTGAGGGTGAAGCCCTCAAGGACGTTTTTCAGTGGGCCGATACCGACCATCAGTTGGCTGACCACTTGACTAAGACGAAGCCTCCTCACCAGTTGAGGGACCTGCTGTCAGCAAACTGGTTGTCGCTTCGAGCCGTGGATCCATCCTAAACCGGATTGGATCAGTTTTTTAGAGGTTGTTGAGTGCAATTGTATGCAGTTTCATGCCTGCCAGCACCTGACTTACCGTCGGCATCAGGGCCCTTGAGCGTAGGCGAAAAGAGAGGTGTGCATCCCTCTGTGGAGCTGAACCAGGCTCCGTGGCTTTAGGAAACCGGAGTGTGAACCCTCCTGATTGCATGTATGTCGTAATTTTTGTATTTGTGGTTGTCTTTCTCTCTTTCTGTCGGTAGTTACCCGGTAGTTATTTCTTTATGTCGATGTTTCTGTCTTTCTTCTTGCTTCGTTATATTTAGCTCGCCCGCTCTTTGTTTAGCTACTGGTTATATCGTTCTTTCGTTCGGTACATCTTTCTTTCTCTGTCGTTCTTCATTCCTTTCTTTAACACGTTCTTTCTGTCGTTCGTTCCGTCCATCCTGTTTAACATATGCGCCTCGGGTAGCATGTCGGCCACCAGGGACAGCGAATGCAGACCACAATCCTGTCTGACATGCGAGCAACGCGAACCACCGACCCAGAATTTACAGAGACTGACTGCCAGGGCCAGGGCCGAGAGCGAAGGCCGGGTGGACCCGCTGGCGGATCGCTGTTGTCTGGGATGAGAAGCCGGCATCGGCAGGACAAAAGAGAAGCTCTTGGCCGCAGCCGGCGCCGCCAGTGGGCCCAAGTCGAGCTTGCCGAAGGCCGAAGGCCCTTCTTTGGGGCCCATACGGCTGGGACGGGTCTTGGGACAGGATCAAAAAAGCCTTGGGCCAGTGAATGCGGTCAAGGAGAAGGCCGGAGACAGGATTCAGGATGAGAGCCGGCTCGGCAGCGCACGTTCACTTAGCTGAGACTACTTCGAAGTAAGAGTCCACACAATCGCCACAAGGCAGTGCGATATTCAGCACCGGCGCAATATGTGCGCAAACAATGCTTCTAACTTCGGGCAAGGCATCAAACGAACCAGTTGCAATCGCAAGTATCCTGCCTTGCAGAAAAAAGCAAAGCAGCAAAGATCTGAAGGACTGCCTGCCATGCCTGCCAGTCTGTGTCGCTGTTTCCACATGATGGACTGCCAGAGGCTTTGTTTCGTTGGCAGGAGACGAGCTTCCGAGCAAGAAGCTGGGCACGCCTTGGGCACAGCTGCGAAGCGCTCTCGTAACACATGGCGAGCTGTACTTCTGCGCTTCGCAGGTCCAGCCAAAGACAGAGACGGGAGAAGTCTCACGAGGCTGACGTGACCATCAGGAGCTCTGCGGCAAGCATGCCTTCGTACTGGCATAGGATAAGACGAAGTCGAAGAAGGGAAAGAAGGAGAAGAAGAAGGATAAGAAGGACAAGATGCAAACTGAGCACAAGCGAAAGTCGGAAAAGGCCCCAGCCATTCGCACGCCGTTAAATTTACTAGAATTACTAGAAGTTGCATGTACCCGCAGCCGGCAGGTCCGCAAGGAAAGGTCGCCCACGCAGGCCGGAAAAAAGTAGAAATTAAGCTGATGCTAAAGCCACCCTGCAAGGAAAGACGAAAGTCACCCTCGAGGAAGGACAAAAAACGGAAGTGCGGCAACCAACTGTAGCTTGTACTTGCATTGCGACCGATCTGCGGGCACCCAGGCATGAGCGTAGCACGGAGCAGCCCGGGGCCCCGGGCATCAGCAGGCATTGTCTTGCGAGAGAACGAGCATGGTGGACAAATTCTTACCACCGCCGGAGATACTGCACACACTTGCACACAGACACACTCACGCCTCTTGTTGGAATGACCCTCGAAATTGCAGGATCTATAACATGGGTTAGCCAGCTAGTTACATCTCTTCCATCTGTGGCCAGTACGAAGCAACAGCTTTGAGGATGCATTTGGGCGGCCACGTCAACGAGTACACAATCTGGTGTTCCTGATCGTTTCATCACGATCTTCGTTGGGCAGTGGTTGCTAGGAAGGCTCACAGCCCGGCACGCAAATGGTCTTCTGTGATAGAATTGTCCTTGCACAAGTGCGTCAACCTGTGCTGTGTGCTGGAAAGCTTTGTTGGTTTTATACGGAACTCAAAGGGGGTCAGAGTGTAATCGGCTGATCAGGCCCGGCTTCCCTCTCTGATGCATAGCTTCGTTTGGGTACGCCAACATCGGAGAGCCGTACCCCCTCGCATATGCCATGACTGCAAGTCGAAGCATTGTCAAATGCACAGGACGTGACCTCCCTCAGCCCGTGAGCCAGGACAGTTCACACACACACACACGCACACACACGCACGCCAAGACCAACTCCAAAAGCTTCATCATGTGAAAGGGGAGTCGGCGTCACGAGGCGTGCCGTCGCTCGGAGCCCGAGCTTGCCAAAGGCTGGGACTTACTGCATCCGTTTGTGCGATGGCAAGCGGTTGTGGCACAGGCAACACCGGAGTTCCAGGCTTCCGAAAAAGGTGCACGTGGGGTCCCACGCCAGCGCGATCCTGCAGGCGAGAGTTGGAAAAGTGTTAATGCCGGACATCCATGCGCGAGATCTGCAAAATCTCACGGACGCCGCAGGTTCGAGCCACAGGCACACGCCGGGTGCTGCCCATCTTGGTTTTTGGAGCGCTTCACACTCCAAGCTGTCCGTGGGGCTGGTAGGTTTTAAAAGGGTTGTTGCTGTGCCTGTGCCTGTAGCTTCCGCGGTGCAGGCGGCCGAAGCAGGCTGCAGCTGCTTGCTGCACCGCTGTGAGAAAGAGTGCTTGGGCCTTGGGGGGGTGCAGGCGACTGCGGAGGCTGTCGCAGCCTGAGATTTGTTCTGCCCTTTTTTTGGCGCGTGTGTCCAGCGAACGCCAGGATGTCAGAACGCATGGCCGCAGGCGGGCCAATCTTTTTCCGGTCGTCTTTTGAATCGGGACCTGGCATCTCTGTGCAGGCGAGAACACCCAGCCCGCTCAAGGTCTCGAAAACGAAGGTAGGGGCACTCGAAGTTCCCGAGCCGTCAGAGTCTCGCATCTCAGGCGTGATGCGGCCGTGCCCGAAGCCGTCTCCCTATGTGAAACCTAGGGGTTCGAAGGTACTCCGGCTCAAATGGTTTTGTGCCTGAGGCATGGCAAGTATGGCGAGCGGGGTCCTACCATCCATGGAGTGCCCAGCTGGCCATGAGCTCGCGAGGGCGAGGGGACGAGAGATTGGAGATGATTGGAGGGAGGGAGTGAGCTGGCGTTGTGCTCAGGCCGGTGCCCCCTTGGGTGCCGTTTGGTCTGTTCCAAGCATGATGGCCCCCCAGGCCAGGCTAGGCGGTCGTCTGTCAGAATTGTTGTTGCTTTTGCCGTCTTCAGCAAAAGAGACTCCTGTCAGGCATGGGCCGTTGCAAGCGGAATCCCGCCGAGCCGCTCAGATTCGGCCCGACCTCTCTGATACTGATCGTCGCAATGACGCGGTCCGTGCCAGGCACGTCGGGCAGGTACAGGCATCGGAAGCAGGACATCCAACACGCAAAGAGTTTGTAACAAAAGCATGGTCGGTGGTCCTTCCAGGAGCTCTGCCCATCTCGGATTCCTCTGAGGCCAGGCATGCGACGCTGTAGCCGCTGCAAGTGCAGCGCTTGAAAACAACGTCAGCAAGCAGCCTGTGCCTCTGAGACCGCACAACATCTTCTCACAGGACGAGGAGGAGGAAGAGGAAGAAGAGGAGGAGGAGGAGGGCGAAGAGAGCGAGGAAGATGCTGAGCAGCCTGCAGTCATGGCCTTGACTCAGTTACGGCAGGGCAGCGCAATGGCAGTAGGGTGGTGACAGATGTGACAGGTGCTGACGGGAGCCGTCCCAGCTGCTCCTGCGGCACCTCTCGCTGTGCAGATTTCTGACGCGCCCGGCACTTCCGGAGCTGCAGCGAGAGCTGCCGCTGCCCAGGAAGGTCTGGGCCATTTATTCGACTCTCCAAATGCCTGTTTCGTGGGAGCCTTCAGGTTCGGAGTCTTCAGAATCAGAGAACGAGGTGCACCGCCGCTTGGGACAGTGGTGGCACAGTTCACGACGCCTGGCCCCGCAGGAGAGTGAGACAGAAAGCCAAGACGAAGATGCAGAAATCGGAGAGGCGGTGCCCGCGGTGCCGCGGAGAGCAGAGAGCAGAGCTGTGCTGAGCCCCCCTCTCCCCTCCGCTGCGCTGCCTTCCGACTCCGAGGCGCCCACTCCGAAAGGTCTCGAGACCTCTCTGGCCGAGGCCCCGGAGGCCCCGGAAGCCCCCGCAGGGGAGAGCTCCGCTCAGGCCAAGGTTCGCCCCCGCTGCGCGCTGCAGCGCCTACAGTATGGCGTTTTTGTTTTTTTTGTTTTTGGTTGCGGAGAGGTGCTGAAGTGGGTGCCGCCGTTTCACACAGTTCGGCAGCCCTTGCACCGCTCCGCTGAGAGGCACAGTCCCAGCCGGGAGTCCGGGAGTGTCGGAGCTTCCCTGTATACATCTGTGAATCTGTGAGGTGGCCAGGACCGAGAGTGGGTTGGTCCGAGCTTTACGAGCTGGAGATCGACTTGAATCTGGCCGCTTGGCAGATCTTTGCAGCAGATCTTTGCATCCTATTTATCTCTGCGTCTAAGATGGGCCCGAGCTCAGTCTCCCAGGTCAAAGGCAACATCGAGCTGTCCTCGAAGCGGCTTATCAGCCGCGCCGAGGCCCTCGAGCATGCGGTTCTCCAAAAGCGTCCAGAGATTGAATGAGCTTTTCCCTTTTTCAAGGGACCGGGCAAAGGGCTCACCGACATGGATGCCAGCGACATCGAGGAAGCCGCCGGAGCATCGGAGCATCCCTTTCATGATTATAGAGCTTTGCAAATTTATATGAGGAAAAAAAGGCAGGTTCCCAAACGTGGCCGAAAGTACTCTCTCTCTCTCTCTCGCCTTTTGTGGGTGCCCTGGGCAGGAGTTTCTTGAGGCTAATCCTTCAGAGGCGGAGGCGGAAGCCATGGCGGAAGAGGCCCGGACTGCCAGGACCTCGGCTTGAATCTTTAGTGTGCCATATTTTTTTGGTGCCATAGGTTGCCGAGCTGCTGAGGTTCCCCTGATCCCTCACTGGAGCAAGACGCGGTCCTGGACCAGCCTCCTGGAGGCTCTCGCGCCTGCCGCTGCCGCTCGCTCGCTGAATCACTGTGCATAAGAAGGTCCTCCTCGAGGAAGCGGATGGCGCTTGGCAACAGCGCCGGCTGTGCAGCGTGGTGCTTCGAAGCAGGTGCCGCCAACAAAAGTGTGAAGATGCTTCTGTGGGGTGATCAGCGGGCCAGAGTGGCAGGCGGAAGGGCCGCAGCTCTGGCGGAAGCCTCTCGGAAAGCCATTTCGGAGCCCTCTCGATCCCTTTGAGAGTCTCTGTGGGCTTTCTAGGCCCGGCCATCGGCGTGGCGAATCCGCAAGAGCCGGAGAACACCCCGGACGCCGGCGGAAGGTCAGGGGGCCGGAGAGTGCTGCCATGTGCTGTGCCCTTTAACTTTGCATTGCTTTGCATGGCCACCCCGCGTGCCAGCACTCTGCTTCTCACCATCGGGGCAGCAGCGAGAGCCGTGCGGCTCATGCAGTGGCGAAGCCCGCCCTTGCTGGACGTACCGGAGGCTTTGAAGGTGGACCCCAGCAAGTGCGCACCGGCTCTGGCGATCCTGTGCCGACCCCACTGTTGTTGCCGTGGCAGTCAAGGTACCGGGGGAACGAACGAAACCTTCGCATGCGGAAACGCCCGGCGGCCAAAGCGAAGAAAGCAGCTGCGTACAAGAGCACCCCACAAGGACGGTGATGTCGCTATCTCTCCTTGTGCCTTTGCGCAACTACTCCAGGACCACCTGCGAAGGTGCCGGCAGAAGGTCTCCTCCGGTCCGGGGGCCCCTTCTTGAGTCCGTGCCAGGCACCTTCTGAGGAGTACAAATCACAGCTGAGATGCTTGATGCAAAAAGTGCAGGACCGGGGCTAGGATACCTGTCTTGCCTTGTGCGTGTGCCGGCTTCCCGCAGGGAGGCTCGTCGGAGCGGGATGCTGTGCGAGATTTTTGGTCGGACCTCTCTCCAGCAGATCGGGTGTGCTCTGCACATGTCCTCATGTCGATACTGTGCAGATGGAGTGAGTCGGCTTGTTGAAACGACAGGTACAGTTCAGCACGGAGTTTCCCCAATTCATGCAGCTTGGTCTGATGTGTTGAGCTGCTTGACAGTCGTGTGTGTATGTATGTATGTATGTATGTATGTATGTATATATATATATATATATTCGCAGAGAGGCATTTCTAAAGCACGCGTGGCAACAACTGAATCGCAACAAGCACATGCGCATGTGCAAACGCTCGTCTGCATGTGGAATCATTCTTAACATGACGATCACCGGTACGGCTGAGTAGCCGGGATAAGGGGCTTGGTTCCATCAGGGTGGTCAAATCAGCACGAAGATAATGATGAGGTCATTGACCGTCTATCGCTGCTGAAGCAATTTGGTGGCTCTGAAGTTGGGATTCAAGTTGACCTTGAAGTCTCTTGCGTACAGCGGGGTCGTCGGTCCGAGTATGAGCCATGTCCTGTCCGACGTCGGTAATCTGAGCTGAGTATTACTGGCTAATACTAAATCCAGCGCTGCAGTGGAACCAAGGGGTCCATGGCTGTGACGAGGGGTGTTTGCCATGGCGGGAACAGGTTTCCGTAACCGGCAGTGGTAACAGGAACCAGTCCAACGACAGAAACAAGAACCACCTGGTTCCCGTAACATGCTGAGTCCAATGCTGAGAGCCGCAGCTGGTGACAGATTCTGACTGTTGTGTCGACTCCTAAACTCGGACCTCCCAACCCAGCATGTTGACCCGTCAATCTTGTCGAAAGCGGGACATTCCAACATTGTTCGGCTAGCCACGACCTTTGCATTCAATTTCTTGGTGTTCGATTTTGCTTTGTGGACAGAAGGAAGATATGCTGAGTCTAATGGGCCACAAGAGCATAAAAACCATAATGTACTGGTATGGTCTCCGTGCCGATGTTGAGCCATACACTGACCCCAGCTACCTGCCCTTTCAAGGAGGACGGAAAGCACAATAAGCTCAACCCAAACTAACCTAATTGCCTTGTCAGGGTTTATCCGGAATTGGGTTCAGGGTTTCGGGGTCTAGGGACCTCTTTTTATTGACAAACACACACAGATATATATATATATACACACACACACACACACACATGACACAAATTGATAGTGGTATTTGCAACTCTGCATCGAGTTCAATCTTTCATGCATCACTTTGAACCCATGAAACTACAGCAAATGCATATGTTATTACGACTCGCTGCCCCAACGCATCGATATTTTTAGTTCTGTCTTCTCTATTTCAGGCCTGCCCGTGGGGGACCGGTTTTCGGTCCTCGATTTTGCGACATAACAGCCTCCTGCCCGGCCCCCCCCCTTGCTGGTTCCCGTTGGCAGTTCCCGTGCCGGCGGCGTTCCTGTCACGCCGGCCGACGGGTTTCGGTCACAATGTGCGGGAACGGTTTCCGTTACTCCCGAAAGCGGTTCCCGTTACTCCCCGCACCCCTGTGATGAGCAAAAATTTTGCTCCGAGAACTTTCGACAAAGCTCTGACTTATGCAGCTCTGGTACCACCGAAGGAGAGAAGCATGAGTCAGGCTTTGTACTCTTGCTACTGCTGGGCAGTGCAGGGTAGTGCCAAGAGGCGGCGTTTGGCATGAAATGCCTGGCGTCCCTGCTTGCAGGACTCATGCTTGGGGGCAAAAAGAAGGCCGTTTGGCAATTTTCGAGTGGCACCTTTAATTCACGAGTTGGCATTGGCAATTATCGAATCATTGGAAGCCAGAGACCAAAGGCCGAAGCAGCACTCAAAGCTGAACCAGAAGGGGCCCCGAACGAGAATGGGAATGGAACCCTATTTTAAATAGGCACTGGCCTGTGGTGCCTACGTCTCGAAAAGCATTAAAAGTGGCAATCAGCTTATGGATGGAGCAGGATGAGGCCTGCAACGACACATGAAGCGACAAAAACAGCTGCTGGCAGAAATACGCTTGCGAAATGGTTGAAGTGGAGGTCAACTCTTTTCGTGACAGCAAATTCGCAAGGACTCCGCGACTATGAACATGAGTCGGGACAGCAGTCTAAGTCGCAGAGGTACGAGCGCGATGGAGCCGTTCTGCATCGACACATCAAACCCGGGAAAATGCAAGTAACCCACTGGCTCCGACTCCACCTGTGGTCCGCAAAAATTTTACATTCTAGAGTTGGCTGCAGGCCCGCATGTGCGCACGCGCTCATGCGCGCATGCGCAGCAGCCATGTAACTTGGGAGTTGTTGCAAAGCTGCCTTTAGTTGCGTTTTCGCATGCAAGGCATCTGGTCGTTGGGCTTCCGAGCGCGGTCGACGCCGATGTGCCGAAAGCGAAGTCGGGCCTGGCTGGCCTCCCCGGCCCGCCGCCGGCACCGCCGGCGCCGCCTCCGCCGAAAACGCCCTCTCCCCAGGTCTTTTTTGTATCGGAGATATATTCACGGGTTCTTCGATGCGTTTGCTGAGTGATTTTTTGGTTGGAGGTCAGCCGAGCTGGCCGGGATGGCCACCGCGGCCACGTCCAAGAGCCTTCCAGGCAAGAGCCGTCATCGATTCCGCTCACCGCCCTTGCTCGAGATGGCAGCATCAAGTAGAAGGTATTGGTGAATACTGTTAAGTCAACGCAGTCAACATATGAGAACAAGGATCTTGAAATAATGCCGCTATGAGATCTCTGTACGTTGACGGGCCCGAGCAGGGAGACGAAGAGAGAGGCTAACAGCGCTTCTCTGCTGAAGGAAGAGCAAGCGCACCCCCGCTCCTGGGCCCCTAAAGACATGCCACTATAGGTCAAGTCCAGGACATCGCGAGACCGGAGAAGACAGTACACAAATCTACTGCCCATGGAGGGCTGTAATTCAATCAAAGGTACCGGACTTCTTCTTGAGCCTGGACAACAAATTGGCACGGCAACCAATCTGCGCACGGAAGCATGCCAAAAACAGACTTTGGTGCGGACAGTTCATAACACAACCTTGATTGGAGATTGTCGTGGGAACAAGCGGGAAACCTCTCTCTTTGTCTGCCGATGCTCTCGCTGCCAGTTCCCTTGGCCAGTACGACCGGGCCTGTGCTCGAGCCTGAGAGTCGTCCGCTCGTGTTGTTTGTTCGAGTTCTCTCTTCCGAGAGGCCTGGCCCTGCCGTTCTGGCAGCTTGGCCAAGCTTGTGTAGTACAGCGCTGCGACAGCTTTCTGCCAGGGGTGACTTCCCCAGCTGAGGCTGTGCCGATTTGGCCGAAGGGCAAGGCAGGTCACTCCGGATTGCCAGTTCAGCCGGCTCCCGCCTCGCCGTCTCTGAGGGCCCAGGCCTCTCCGCAGAAGTCTTCAAGAAACAGGAGGTCCGTCCCTTTCAGTGGTTATGTCAGTGAGGGGAAAGATGACCAAGGTCCAGAGATCAAATCCTGGGTGGGAAGGGGGTAGCTGGCGAGGGTGGGGGGGGCTTGTTCGCCCTCGGGGGGAATTCAGCGGCAGCGGCAGCCATCTTCGATCCCAGGCAATGGCGTGGCATGCACCACACAGCACCGAACAGCGCTGGGCTGGGCACGTTCGCACCAACAGGCAAACACTTGCTACGTGACCCTCAAGCTTACATGAGCTAGGACCACTAGGATTCCAACTGTGATGTGTGCAGACCGTTCAGAGCGCACATGCACTTTCCAGCCCTGCACATTTTCGGTGCATGTCCGAACTGACATGTAATCATTGTCCTGAACTCATCATTATGTAGCTCCAAGCAAGGAAGGCATGTCGAGCTGTTTGCTCCATTCCCTTATTGGAAGATTCGCCCACCTAGCCCTGGCGTGCAATGGCAATTAGAAGTTGGGCATTCCGGTGGCGGACAGAAGGCATCACAAAAACAAAAGCTAACCTCAACTGTGTACACGGCATTCCTTGGTCCCCATGAGAGGCCCCCGAAAGTGCCCCGCATCGACGAAACAAGTTGCGGTATGTTGCGGTTTGCGGTGTGCGAGGCATGCAGCCGGGCTTGCGAGACACCCATAGATTTGCCCAACACATCAGGTTGGTTTTCAGTTTCGCTGCAAGCCTTCCCAAGAGAAGAATTGGGCCTCTTACATATGAAGAAGAGGGCGTGTGTCCACGTCGTCTGGGAACCATGAACACAGAGCTTCGCCATGCCAGTCGAGCATATGGCATAAGAGCTTCGCCGTCCTTCGGCACTTCGGCCAAGGCTGCGTGGGCAGACCGCCTCACCTTCCACGATGGCGTCCTGCGCGTGGACATGAGTTCGGGGCTCGCACGTTAGCGCCTTGAGCCTTCATTGCAAGTGCTACGAGGGTCGTTGCAGCTGATGGATGCGGGTATGGCCCGGACACCTGATTGGGGTGTGCACTGTTGGGAACCCTTGCCACGGCGGTTTGCAAAGCAGGTTCGCTGGTGCCGCTGGGCCCCTGCCTTGCTGCAGACCCTCGGTCGCCCGGGAGCCCGAATGCCGCCGAAAATCGCTTTTCTGCGTTGTCAGAGCTGCAGCAGGTGCTGGCGGAACACTTTCAGAGGCGGAGTTAGACTTTTCGGGCAATGCTCTCGAGGCGTGTGCCCATACCTCGCAATGCATCGCAGCTTCGCAGACGAGGGTGGCATGCATCCGCACGGCATGGGCTTTTTGCGAATCGCAGCTTGGCTCAGTCGCAGGGGCGGGCGGACACCCCCCTGCCGCCTCGCATTCCCCATGGATGGCGGGGATGAGGGCGTTTTCGAGGTTGAGGACCTGCTAGATTTCAGGCCGAAGAGTCATGTCTAGCTTGCGGCTGATGGCATGTTTGAGCTTTGTTTTGAGACTGAATTCTGTTGCAGGCATGCCGACGGCAAGGATTTGTATTTGGTGAAATGGAAGGGTTACAGCGAGACGTCTTGGGAACCGGATGAGAACATCGGCTCCGAGCTCGCTGACTTGAAACGCACTGCCAGGGCGAAGGCGGGTCAAGGGCCGGAAGATGGCAAGAAGAGGAAAAAGAAAGGTGACGGGGAGGAAAAGGTAAAGAAGGAGAAGAAGAAGGAGAAGAAAAAGCGGAAGAGAGGGTCCAGTGATGACAGGAAGCGAAGTTCTGATTCCGAACGGAATGAGAAGGGGATGCCCATGCCACCTCCCGGGATGATGCCGCCTGGCATGTTGCCACCTGGAATGATGCCGCCACCTGGCATGATGCCCCCCGGAATGCCATTTCCCCCACACCTTGCACCCGATGGCAAGGGCAAAGGAGTGCCGCCCATGCCCGGCAAGGGCATGCCCGCCATGCCCCCATTCGGCAAAGGCATGCCTCCACCCGGCATGCATCCGCATCCGCCTTTTGGTCCTGGGCCATGCCCACCACCACCCGGGCCCTGGTTCGACCCCAAGGGTTTCGGGAAGGGCATGGCGCCAATGAAGGGATTCCCTGGCAAGGGGCCTATACCCTTCCAAAGGCCAATGCCTCCTGGTGCCAGAGAAGCATCGGACATGCAGCGCTTCGCCTCCGAGAAGAAGTACCGGCTCAGGGACTTTGCTCAGTCTGTCCGCGAGCACTTCACGAAGCACCCTGATCAGGTTTCCGAAGAGAAGCTCGCAAGAGCGAAGAGTCTGGACGAGGCCCCCGAGACCAACCAAAGCTGAAACTTTACCCGGTCATGCGGGAACGCGACACGTGTGGGGACGTCATCGAAGTTACACACCACACCCTGAAGGTATCTTAGCCTTAGCCGTAGTGGTCGCAGGCCCTGCAAAAATATTCCCGGGCTTTAGGCGCAGATGAAGGCAGCTCGTCGAGGTCCAGAGTTGAAACTACGAGGACTATGACGGCTAGGTAGTTCCTAGCACTACTTACACGGGTAGCAGCAGTTCAAGGTTTGGAGGATGTCTAAGAAAGATTTCCAGCCTTACAACAGTTGTGACTAGTGGTATTTGAGCAGAGTACCAGCATGAGCACACTCTATACGAGGCATGTCCTCTGTGGCCTCGACTTTGCAAGGCCTAGGCAAAAGCCTGCAGAGCCTCCTAGGGCCCGGATCGATGTTAAGCTTGATGTGGGCAGGCGCTGGGTCTGAAGCTGCAGGGCAGCCAGCTGCCCTTGTTCCTTCCCATCGAGATCTTGCTGACGCACGCGCTGTGCCTGGTTTGGCTGCTGGACAGCTCTGCCCGTGATGAGCACTACGACCTGCTCCAGCAAGTTGCCAGCCTCGCACATCACAGGGGCCAGCAGGCCCGACAGCTTTTTGTCCGAGTTTTGAAAGGAGCTTGGCCACGAAAGGTGCAGACGTCAGAGTCCGCAGAGTCGGCCTCGAAGCTCTTCGCAAGTTTGGGCTTGGGTGTGAGCGGCTCCGTCCGGGGCGGAGCGGCGCCTTTGGCTCTCCCAGGACTGCCTGCAGACGCTCGCCCAGAGCACTGGCGAAACCTGATCGTGCAGCTCTACAAGGACCACAACCCCTCGAAGCTAGGGGACATTGAGGCACTCATGGGCAAGTACAAGGGCCGAGAGAGGACCTTGTATTTATGTATCTGTGAGAAGTATCGTGTCTCCCCAAACCTGGAGTCAAAGGCCAGTGCTTCCGAGAAAGCGCCGGCCGGTGACGACAAGAAGGTGAAGAAGTACCGTGAGCTTATCACAGACATCTACAAGGAGCACAACCCCTCCAAGCTCGCAGACTTAGATAGCTTGCTTCAAAAGTACAAGGGCCGGGAGGAGTTGGTCTACAAGGGCATTTGTGAAAAGTACCACGTGGAGCCGAAGACATCCAAAAAGGAGGAAGCCAAAACGACCTTCGAGAAGTACAAGCAGCTGATTGCAGAGATCTATGCCGAGCACAACAAAGAGAAGCTGGGCGAGCTGGATGACTTGCTCGGGAAATACAAGGGCAAGGAGAAGACTCTCTACCTGGCAGTGTGTCATAAGTACAACATTGAGCCAAAGCTTCCGACAAGCAAGAAGAAGGAGAAGAAGAACGATGCAGACGACGGCCGGAAGGCTCAAGATGGTGACGCCGAGAACGACACCAAGCCGAAGGAGAACGACCCCAGCGCAAGCACAGAGTTGGCGAAGCTGGATGACTTCAACTTGGCGCCAGGAGCTGAAGCCGAGCTTGCTGGCATGTTCAGGCAGCTGTTGGAGATTGCCGTGCTTCATGGTGCCGGTTTTGATGAGAAAGAGGCCTCGAGGCTTTGCTGCTGGCAGGAAGCTCAGCCTCGGCAATTGCCTTGTACACTGAGTTACCGCTTCGAGCTTTCAGGCCTGACGTCGACACAAACCCAGAAATTCACAGAGAAGCTTTACGGGTCTGATGAAAAGCGCTGGGAGCGACTCCTCCGGATGTGCCCCGGAACCGAGATCAGAGGACCGAAGGATTCTCCTTCGGACGCCTTGGTGGTGACGGGAGATGGTGGAGGAGCTGAGGGAAGAAAGCCTTTTGACAACGCAGTGGTTCACATAGCTGACTCCTTGGGGCGAGCTGTGCGAGAATGCATGGATGCCTTGGACTCAGATGATGAAGGTGCCAGGGATCGCTGGTATCTTCCATGGAGTTCCGAGGAGAACGCTTACATCCTTGATGAGAACCTCAAGAAGGAAGTGGGCGTGGAGTACAGGAGAGGCTGTTGGACACCACGGCGATACGTAGCGATGCATTCCCATTCTGCACACCACAACTTGTGTGGCCCGGATGTTCAAGGACGGCTGCCGGACTTCTGGCGCGAGCTCGCAGACAAGCTTTGGCTCTCCATCCTGACTCTGAATTGGGGCAGCGATGTGCCTCTGGACACCGTGGTCATCATTCAGACCACCGGTGGCGCCGGTGGCGGTGCCGCCTCACCCAACGCATCGTTGATTGTCACAGCACCAACTCACGGGGAACTCGAAGCTGCCAACAGGAAATTGGCCCCCCTCCTGTCGAAGGTTCTTGCAGGTCTTCGTGCCAACGCTGCATTCGCCATGCATGTCTTGTCAATGCCGCAGTTTCGTGCCATGGGTCGAGCAACTTGGTACCCTGGCATGGTTCTGGCTGCTCGCCAAGGCTTTGAGAACAGAGAGCCGGCGTCGTCAGACTCTGAGGGCGATGTTCCTGAAGAGGACTTGGACCTTGATGCGGACGTGTCAGATGCTGAGCCAGCCGACTACTCCCAACCGCATCGCCTGTCTCGAAGGAAGCTGAGAGAGGCGTACTTGCAGGGCCTGCTGAACCTCAATGCTGCAGATCAGGGGGTGAAGAAGGTCTGCCGCAGGTTCAGCGATTGGAGGAAATCCAAACCGTTCCAGGAGCAGCGAACTGTGCTGGCTTTGCTGGAGCAACTCATGATCAAGCTCGAAGGCTTCGCGGATATCGATCTAGCCAAGCACAACAAGGAGGTACAAGACTTGGTGAAACAGCTCAACGAGCACAACACCCTCTTCCCGGTAGAGATTCAGGACGTGGCGCTCTCTATCCTCGACATGAAGCCACCGTCGAAACAGCCTGTTGAGCTGCCCATCCCTCCTCCGCCCTCGACGCCGGCGCCAAAGCCCTATGTGGCTCCGAAGCTTCCAAAGGATGCACCACCCCCGCTTCCTGAAAACAAGTATCCGTGGCAGGAGAAGATTTTCTTGGACACGCTCCTCTCCAAGGGACTCTACGGCTCCAATGTGCTCAGCCGTGTCATCGGGAGAGGTGGTATGCACCACCGCCGCATGGAGAGTGAGAGCGGGGCGCGCGTCTTCTTCCGCGGCCTTGGTGTCAGCGGTCGGGATATGGATCTCACAGATCCTACCGACTGTCGGCTTCACATCTCAGTCAAAGGCGAGGTGCCGCAGCAAGGCAAGTCTGTGAGACGGATCATCAAGGAGATCGTAGCTGAGCTCGATGCAGAGCTCTCGGAGAGAGGGGAGATCGGTCCTGCTCTGGACAATCCTCGCATCCCAGATGCACATCCTTTCGGTTTCATGCTGGGCCGAGGCACGGGACCTGAGAATGGAGAGCCCTTGAAGTTTCGCTTCCCGGAGGAGGATGGCCAGACCTTGAATGACATGTTGCTCTGGTTGAAACAGGCCAAGCTGCCTCTGGAGCTCGACTCTGACACGCAGTGGCGCACTACATTGCAGGCCGGGCCCACCAAAGGAGCAGCGTTCTGGTTAATTGCACACTCACGTGCCTGTGTGCGAGGGAGAGGGAGGGTTGCGCGATGCACGGCCGCAAAGTTGCGAAGATTGCGCGAGACTCCACAGTTACGATGAGGATGACACCGACGAGCACCATCCCTGCATACCATGGGGGGGGGGGGGGGGGGGTGTGGGCGGGGCCACTGACGCGGCGACGCGACCATGTATGACCTACGCTTTTGGCTCAAGCGCCTGCTGCAGAAATCGAAATTCACATAAGTATGCACATGCATTTACTCGCACATATCACTTACATGTCTGTGAGTGAGTGTGTGTGTGTGTGTGTGCGTGTGCGAGTACACATTTGGCCTCCCTCCTGGTTGTTTTCATGTGTCATGTGCTGACTACTCCTTCTTGTGATGTTGGAGAAGGGTCTCGCGATGGTCGAGTAGTTGCTTCATCAGGGAAGGGTCATGAAGCCGCAAAGCAGGGGGCAGTCCGGTCTCGACAGAGACCGGTCCCGAATCATGACGGAGCCCAAGATAAATAAGAAAAGTTGACAAAGGGCAGATCGCAATCTCAGCAACTCTCATGTAGGTGTTTGGAGAATTTTGGAGAGACAATGATGGTCGAGACCTTCTCTGTAGAAGTGCCGATGAGACACAGGGGCACGTATAGAATCGCGGGCTGATGGCCTGTCACAGATGTATAGCCGTAGTGGTCAGGTTTGTAAGGGTTGGGACAGGGGCGGGCCCCCAACGACGGAAGCTGTCAGGTGACGCCTGCAGAGCCACCGGCGCCAGACGATGCTCCCGAGCAGGCCGAGCTTGTGGCCCCAAACTCAGCGTGCACTCACGAGCTCACTGAGCTCCTTTGAGCCGAGCTGCAGCGCTTGGAACTGAGGCCGCGGAGTTCCGCAGGATGATGCAGGACTGGAGCCATCCGAGTCCCTACTGGTTCGAGGAGCACGATCTCCGACCTACGGGTCTGTGGTCGTCCCTGACGGCGGGCGAGGCTGACGGAGCAATAGCTCTTCAACAAGGCCAAGGTGTTCGATTGAGTGCCGCAGCTGTTGAGCATTTCTCGACACTCTTGGAGAAGACGCAGCTGTCGTCCATGCCGAAGATCATCATTCTTGAGGTGCTCTCAAGACTTCGAGGTGTCGTGAGGAGGCAGGTCGAGGATGAGCAATTGCTGTTCTACTTGCTTTATCCCTGGGCTTGGTTTTCTGAGTCCATGGGCCGCGGCCTGAAGCTGCCTTACGGCAGAGACAAGGTGCATGCGATGCTGGCAGAGATGGGACGCATGGGAGGCAAGCCCACTGAGTCTCAGGTGTCGCCACCCTTCAGAGGCTTCTTCGTTGAGTGGATGCCTCTCAAGGCAGGAACGCAGCGGCCGGAGGGGCCCTACGTTCCCTTGGTGTCGACACCGGCTGCGCAGATGGCCCAGACGCCAATTACTCCAACCACACCAGCAGTGGTGGCCACAACTGCAGTGAAACCGGCCCCAACCGTAGCCAGCGCTCCAAGGGGCTTTTGCAAGTATTGGCTACCGGAACCGGTTTTCAAGTCAAGACAAGACTTGCGAGAGCTCATTACCGGACCTGGTGGCTCTCATTTCGCGCATATTCTCAGAAAATATCCCAACGTGGACCTGCGAGTTGAAGGTCAAAATTCGCTCAGTGTGCCGCCTGCGCACCGGCTGCACGTGTCCATGAGCAGCGAGGATTCAGAGGTCTTCGAGAGTGCTTCGGCTGATGTCTTGGATTTGGTGGAGACTGTCTGCGACATGGTCGGCGAGGAGCTGCAGATGGGCGAGGAGCGACAAAACCCACATTTTTAAAGCTGCAACCCTTCTAATTTCTAGATGTTGCGAAAGGGGTTCTTTCCGTTCTTTGGGCCATGTGTTTGCGCAGGAAGAGGTGGACAAATTGATCTCCCAGGTCCGTGCAGAGAAGTACTTCGAGGCACATGGCATTCGCACTCCACTTCCGACAGCACGCCCCACTGCGGCCGCGGCCAACGCAGAAGCAGAGTTCGAATTCGTGGATGATGAGATGGCATCTTGTCCCGCACGATCGTCATTTTGCGATGCCAGTGCGCATTCCTTTATGCTAACTCTCCGCCCCAACTGTGGTGCCTCGTTCCTATCGTATGACGATGTGGCACTCAGCCTGCTTGTGCCCCATGTGTGCACCTGCTTTGCGTCTGTTCGTAGTACTTCTCTCTTTGTTGGTGGGATTCTGTGCTTCTAAATCCGCTCTGTCTCTGTGCTTCTCTGTGCCTCCATCCCCAGGTTGCTAGGCGCCGCACTGCCTGCAGATGTGCCTCAATTTTGAATCTCTCAGGAACTCGAGGATCAAGATGACGACGACGATGCCGACACGGAAGACGAAGATGCAAGAACTGAAGCGTCTGATTGTATGTCAGATGTGACAGAAGCAGACGGTGAGGTTCCTAAGACCGTCTTCGACGACATTTGAAAGTCCTCAACAACTCCAGAGCTCTTCTCCTCTACCTGCGATTGTCATCGAGCTCCAAGTCCGACACTTCACTGCCGTCTGATCTGATCCCGGAGAGCGAAAAGCGCCCGGTTGGGATGAGGGTGCTCTTGAGACATGCCCAGCCTCAAGTTCGCCTATAGCTGACGCTTCCCTTTCCTCATCGTCTTGCATTGCGCAGGATGCAGGTTTGAAGGAGCTGCTGGCCCTGCTCCGGAGCTGCGACGTCCACGTGCGCACCCTGAACCTCAACGCGAATCGCCTCACCGAGGCGCCTGCCACCCAGAAGGTGCGGAGCTGCAAGGGATCCATGGGACGCTCTTCTCAAGGTTCTCTTCTCAAAAGCTTTCCGCCTCCTTGCCTTACTGAGGTCCCTCGTCGCCATCTCGGACCTGATCTCGAAATCGCGCTTGCCGATCTCGGCTGCTGGGCCCCCTGTCAGGGAGGGCCTCGGTACACACCTCTGTCTTCAAACGGCCTCAGACTCAGGTGTGGATGGAGCAGAACAGGGTCCAGGCCAGGCCGGCGCGGGTCCCCGCTGCTTTCTCTCCTTTTCTGAATTTCTCTTTCGTGTCAAAAAAGAGAGGGCTCCTACGGCTTGATGCACTTGGTGCGCGCTCTGAAGAGCAACGCCGAGAGCCCCAGCCAAGCCTGCGGTGCCGCACTGCATGTGAGACCCTGGCTCCGCCTGCCCGAGGCCCAGTACCCTATTTTCAGGAAGGACACCGGGCGCTACACGCCGCTGATGCTTCATTTAGCCTCGGCCCCACATACGGGCCACCAAACTGAACAGTCTTCTTGCCTTCGTGGTACAGGCTGGCAACATGATCGAGCGCCCGATGCAAGTTACGCAGCTTGTGAAAGAAGCCTTCGACAACAGATTCCCTTCCACATCCGAGGCGCGGCAAAGTCGTAACCTCCAACAGCGAAAGCTCCTCTCTTCTTGCAGGAGAGGCAGTATTGGGAGGTGAAGCAGCAGTGCCCACCTTTGCAGTTGCCGAGATCTGAGAATGCGATTCTGCCTATCACTAGAGGGTTCCAGGCGTGTCCTTTTTTTTGCACGAGGCCCTTGTTTGAGAAACAAGAGACCTCGGCTTGGCAGTGAAGGGGCACAGGACTCTCGACCTCCACCACCACACGACAAGATGTCTCACAAGACAGACTCATAGAGCAGAAACAGTGGCGGGGAGTCACGATCGCGGCAGCCGTCTCCTGGATACTTGCTTTGCTGTGCTGATCTGGGTAGCATAGAAGATTCTTGGTCAAATTGATGTGCAACCTTGTGGCCGTCACGGTGTAGCGGCACTTCAACATGCGCAGCCGTCCCGCTCAGGAGTGATACAGTGATACCACATGTAAGATGCTGTCGGTCATGGTTTGCCGAGTGTGCTGAAGCATGCACTTGCATGTTCCGGCTTGGGTAAGTAAGTAGTTCCAGTCGCTGCCATGCCGCACTGCGAAATATGGTCGACAGGCAGCAACCCCACAAGGTTTGCTGAGTCTCGATGGCCGCAGGCTTGTTTCTGCATTGAGGGCATGGCGACAACCATTGTGTGACAAATCATATTCGTCTCAGGAGCATCTCATAATGTAGCCTTGATGCATCAATACTGCTTCGCGCCCGGTGTGGTATGGTGTGGTCAGCCAGTTTCGGGGCTCGACTATCCGAGGAGCTTTACACAGTGTCCGCAATGCCACAGGAGCAGCCGGGCAGTCAGACACAGCACTGACAACGGTTCATGGGCCTGCATTTGCTGCACAGCACGCGACAAACGCGAGGCCCTGACGTCAGCTTCATCGTGTTGCCAGGCCCCGGCTGCGGGATGGAAAGATCTACTCTTGCTGTCTGGGTCAAGAGTGTTACCCTTCCCCGTGCAATACAGAAGAGTGCGCCATTGCGGTGTGGGTTTGCGAGGGTCGTACTTCTGATGGTTTTTCGTGGGGGCGGGGCTCACAACCGGAAATCTGGCAAGGATCAAAATGCCAGACAAACTTGGGGTGGGCTCCCCACCCCCCGCCCTTGCGGTTGGTTCTTGCGTGCAGAGCGGGGCTGGCATTTTGATTTTCCGCGGAGAGCGGGGAGGGGGGCGGGGCTCACAACCGGAAATCTGGCAAGGATCAAAATGCCAGACAAACTTGGGGTGGGCTCCCCACCCCC